AACCAGTCCAGCTCGTCCCTGCCTCCCTAACCTGTTCTTCCTCCCACCTATCCCCTCCTCCCACCTCAAGCCGCACCTCCATCTCCTACCGACCAACCTCATCCCGCCCCCTTGACCTGTCCGTCCTCCCTGGACTGACCTATCCCCTTCCTAACTCCCTACCTACACTCACCTTTCCTGGCCCCATCCCCGCCTCTTCGACCTGTTTGTTTCCTCTCCACCTATCCTCTCCTCTATCCCTCTTCTATCTGCCTCCCACTCTCTCCCTATTTATTTCAAAACCCCCTTCCCCTCCCCCTTTTCTGATGAAGGGTCTAGGCCCGAAACGTCAGCTTCTCTGCTCCTATGATGCTGCTTGGCCTGCTGTGTTCATCCAGCCCTGCACCTTGTTGTCTCGGATTCTCCAGCATCTGCAGTTCCTACTACCATTGATTGATCCCCCTTCTTACATAAGAATATAGGAAAACAAGTAGGCCATTCAGCCCTTCAAACACTTTCCACCATCCAATGAGATTATTATAACTTAATTGTGGCCTACCTCCATATTGCCTTTGGTTTATATTCCTCAATACTTCAGTTCAACCAAAAGAAAAAACTATTTCAGATTTACAATTAACAACAGATCTAGAATCAACTGCTGTTTGAGAAGGGGAGTTACAACTATACAGTGCACCAATTCATCAAACTCCTTCCACAGTACCTGATAATTGTGCGATCCCTACCACCCAGAAAGAAATAAACAGCAGCTCCAGAATCTGCATGTTCCCTGTCAAAATAAGCAGCATCCTGATGTGGAACTGTATGACTGTTAGTTCATTTCCACTGCGTAAAAGCAATTAATCTCCTGTCCTCAGTAGTTCAATTAATATATTCATACCACGTGCATTGCGGCTATTCAACAGGCCAATTCTCCACCACCTTCTCAACAGTAATTATGGATGGATAACAAATGCAGTCCAAGCAAGCAACATCAATAACATGTTCATGAATTTTAAAAATTATAATGACAATATTTACGGATTATAACAAATCTCAGACTTCATGACGTCTCAAATCCATTCTCCCCCTCCCCCCACTGCTTTGATGTGCATTCATGATTGTGATTTACAAAGAAAAGCAATTAATTTGAAACAATTAACTTGCAAAAATAGAACAGAAATCTAGTTTTGTGCAAAACCGATGTGAAACAGATAGTAGCAGATAGTGAAGGGGACTGTCGGAGAATGCAGCAGAATATAGGTAGATTAGAGAGTTGGGCGGAGAAATGGCAGATGGAGTTCAATCCAGGCAAATGCGAGGTGATGCATTTTGGAAGATCCAATTCAAAAGCGAACTATATGGTAAATGGAAAAGCTCTGGGGAAAATTGATGCACAGAGAGATCTGGATGTTCAGGTCCATTGTACCCTGAAGTTGGCAACGCAGATCGATAGAGTGGTCAAGAAGGCATACGGCATGCTTTCATTCATTGGACGGGGTATTGAGTACAAGAGTTGGCAGGTCATGTTACAGTTGTATAGGACTTTGGTTCGACCACATTTGGATTACTGTGTGCAGTTCTGGTCGCCACATTACCAAAAGGATGTGGATGCTTTGGAGAGGGTGCAGAGGAGGTTCACCAGGATGTTGCCTGGTATGGAGGGCGCTAGCTATGAAGAGAGGTCGAGTAGATTAGGATTATTTACATTAGAAAGACAGAGGTTGAGGGGGACCTGATTGAGGTCTACAAAATCATGAGAGGTATAGACAGGGTGGATAGCAAGAAGCTTTTTCCCCAGAGTGGGGGACTCAATTACTAGGGGTCATGATTTCAAGGTGAGAGGGGAAAAGTTTAAGAGAGATATGCATGGAAAGTTCTTTACGCAGAGGGTGGTGGATGCCTGGAACGCATTGCCAGCGGAGGTGGTAGAGGCGGGCGTGATAGCGTCATTTAAGATGTATCTAGACAGATACATGAATGGGCAGGGAGTAAAGGGATACAGATCCTTGGAAAATAGGCGACAAGCTTAGATAGAGGATCTGGATCGGCGCAGGCTTGGAGGGCCGAAGGGCCTGTTCCTGTGCTGGAATTTTCTTTGTTCTTTTGTTCTCTGAAACAGTTTGAAGGCTGGCTATCAGCTAGACAACAGCATCTAACCCTGGGATTCTGCATTAGAAATATTAAGGGGTTTCCAACATCAATTGGAGAGAGGAAGTATATGAAGATTCAAGTCACTGTTTCATCTGCAACTTTCCACCAACATCAGTGCAATGCTATTTTAGAACTACAGTGCATATAATCCAGGACATGCTGCACTCATGCCACTTCCATTTTTCCACATCCTGAACTACAATTTGATCCCTTTATTTCCTTGTTTGTATGCTTTTATGTTTTTCTATTCTTGAAGATTTCTACAGTACAAAGTTATAGTTGCCCTGTTATAGGAAGGATACTATTAAGCGAGAGAGGGTTCAGAAGAAATTTACCAGGTCGTTGCTGAGCATGGAAGGTTTCAGTTATAAAGGAAGGCTGGGTAGGCTGGGACTTTTTTCACTGGAGCAAAGGGGGATGAGAGGTGACCTGATAGATGTTTATAAATAGGACAGGGTTTGGGGGATATGGGCCAGGAAGAGGCAGTTGGGACTAGTTTAGTTTGGGATTATGTTGGGATTATGCTGTATGATTATGACTCTATAACATATGCTGACAATGTAAAGTAACACATACCGTTCCAAAACGCATACAAAAGCAGAACTCCCTCTTTAAATTACATCTCACCACAGGCCAAGTTAAGGCCAGGCTACTACACAGAACAAACTTCAACACTGCATCTCAAACCTCCACTGGAATCGAATAGTTTTGCGTTTATCATTATCACCTTTCTTGATAAGTGAAACCACATTCTGTTCTCCAACCCTCTGGTCCTTCCCTTGTGAGGGGAATTGAAAAACTGGGTCAGGGCCACTGAGATTTTCTTTCTGAGATAACAAGGTGTAGAGCTGGATGAACACAGCAGGCCAAGCAGCATCAGAGGAGCAGGAAGGCTGACGTTTTGAGCCCAGACCCTTCTTCAGAAATGGGGGAGGGGAAGGGGGTTCTGAAATAAATAGGGAGAGAGGGGGAGGTGGATAGAAGATGGATAAAGGAGAACATAGGTGGAGAGGAGACAGACAGGTCAAAGAGGCGGGGATGGAGCCAGCAAAGGTGAGTGTAGGTGGGGAGGTAGGGAGGAGATAGGTCAGTCCAGGGAGGATGGACAGGTCAAGGGGGCGGGAAGAGGTTAGTAGGTAGGAGATGGGGGTGGGGCTTGAGGTGGGAGGAAGGACAGGTTAGGGAGGCGGGGACAAGCTGGGCTGGTTTTGGGATGCGGTAGGAGGAGGGGAGATTTTGAAGCTTGTGAAGTCCACATTAATACCATTGGGCTGCAGGGTTCCCAAGCGGAATATGAGGTGCTGTTCCTGCAACCTTCGGGTGGCATCGTTGTGGCACTGCAGGAGGCCCAGGATGGACATGTCGTCTGAGGATTGGGAAGGAGAGTTGAAATGGTTCGCGACTGGGAGGTGCAGTTGTTTAGTGCGAACCGAGCATAGGTGTTCTGCAAAGCGGTCCCCAAGCCTCCGCTTGGTTTCCCCGATGTAGAGGAGGCCACAATGGGAACAGCTGATGCAGTATACCACATTAGCAGATGTGCAGGTGAACATTCTTCAGCATCTGCAGTTCCTACTATCTCTGAAGAGATTTTCTTTCTCTTCTCCCACAGCAGTCTTGGAAACAACTCATCTGGGCATGGGGATTTGTTCACTTTTAAACCAACCAAAAACTTCAATACCACATCAACTTCACACTGCATCTTCCTGCTTTATAGACATGAATCCTCCTCCTTCAAGAGAGGACAGATGGGAGGTACTTGTCTACTGTATCAATGCCCTTCAGTTCCGAGCATGGATTGCCCCCTCACCCCACATACACCCCGGTTTCTAATTGGCCCTACTCTTTCCCTGGTTATTCTCCTGCTTGATATACCTGTAGAATATCTTGATATTCTCTCCAATCTTGGCCACCACTGTTTCTTCACACTTCATTTTTATACTTCACTAGTCATCCATTCATTTGCTCCCTTTGCACTTGTCATAAACATGTCCTGAACATTCCTCAAGATCCAGGGTTCTCCAGGCTTGTTGATCATAAATTTCACCCGTAACGGAATATAACTGGCCTTTACTCTCCCCAGTTCCTTTTCTGAACATCTCCGACTATTCTGCTGCAGATTCGCCCTCAAGTAACTTCCCAAAATATTTTACCCAGATCCTGCCTTGTTTTAATAAAATATTCCTTATCCTGAACCAAAGACATTTTGTTTTTTAACAGACTGACGTTCTCCTTTCCCATAACATATGTTGAAAAGTCTGTTGTCATGGTCACTATCACTAAAGTGCTTAGCCACTGTCACCTCGAACACTGGCTTTGTGTCCCAGAAATAGGTCCAGCATTGCACTGTCCCTTACAAGCTCATATGCATGTTGATGTAAAATGGATCTCTCAAATGTATTTAAAGAATTATTTCCCAAGTCAAACTTTTTGTGTTATCTCAATTAATGTTGTGCAGTTGAAACCCCCTAATATAATTATTACTTTATTAGTTTCTCACCCCTCAGTGAATTGTTCACTTACCTGCTCTTCAATTGCCCACTGCTTGGAGGCCTATAGCTTAAATTCCTCACAACATTAGCAAACCCTCACACAAGGAGTTGTCATCCTGCACACCCCTCAATTATACCTCAGCAATGGCAACATCGCAATTGCATGTGTCAATCAATGTCTTAAATTATCTGTCTTACCTATAAGACTCCTAGCATGAAAGTAGAGGCCATTCAACCTTGATTTACTCCATTGAGTCGTAACATGTCTGAAGTCCATTTACCCATGTTTCTTTTCTAAGAAACGCTGTGCTGCCATTGAACTGTCGCACTATGTCCCCTGATCCTACTGAATAGCTTAAACTCCTCACAACATTAGCAAACCATTGTGCAAGGATTTTGGTTCCTTTCTGGTTCAGCTGCAGACCAGCCCACTTGTAGAGGATACACCATCCCCACAAATGTTCCTTCAGATCCAGGAGTCTAAATCCCTCCCCGAACACAAACACTTGAGACAAGCATTCATCTTTTCTCTTCCCCTTTTCCTTGCCTTGTCAGGAATAATCCAGAGATTACAACTTTAGAGGTCCTGCTACTTAATCTATTGCCTAGCTCTCGGAACACTTGATGCAAGATCTCATCACTCATTTTACCAATGTGTACATCGAGCTGTGTCTTATGGTCCTCCTCCTTCAGGATACCCTTAATGACATTGTTGACCTGGTTAATACACCATAATGGAGTCACATCTATGACTGTGAAAATGCAGGTCTGTTCCTCTAGCTAAACAATCCCTAATTTTTATGGCTCCTGCCTTTCTTCTTCCAGGCAGAATTGGTTCTGTCTTGTCATTACTAATTTGGAAGAAAACCCATGCTCAGTGGAAGTTAATTAGTCCAACAATTCAGATACCATGGAATACTGAGCAATGAGGTGGTGAGAGAGAGAGAGCAAGAGAGAGCTTGAGCGAGAGAGAGAGAGCGCGAGCGAGAGAGAGAGAGAGTATAGGCGACAGAATGTGAGTGTGTACACATGAGAGATTGTGTGTGAAAGCATGTGTGACAGCCTGCATGAGACAGCGTGAGAGACGCTGCTGAGGTGGAGATAGTTGAGAGTGTTGATCACCAACGATCTCTCCTGGTCCACCCAGATCATCACAATGGGCAAAAAAGCACACCAATGTCTCTACTTCCCCAGGAGGCTAAGGCAATTCGGTATGTCCACAAGGACATAGAAAGCATCCTATCTGGACGCATCACAGCATGGTTTGGCAACTGCTCTTCCTAAGACCACAAGAAACTACAGAGTCATGAACACAGCATAGTCCATCATGCAAATCAGCCCTCCATCCATTGATTCCATCTATACTTCCCGCTGCCTCGGGAAAGCAACTGACATAATCAAAGGCCTTCTCACCCCCAGTTATACCCTCTTCTACCCTTTTCTGAAGGGAAGATGTAAAAAAGTTTGTATACATGTGTGAACAGATTCAAGAACAGCTTCTTCACCGCTGTTATTAGACATCTGAATAGAACACTTAAAATTTTAAATCTAATTTTGATCTCACTCTCTGTGCATCTTCTCTGCAGCTGTAACATTGTATTCCTCACTCTGTTCCATTTCACTTATGCACCTTGTATGGTATGATCTATCTATACTGCATGCAAAGCAAAACTTTTCACTGTACCTAGGCACATGTGACAATGATAAATCAAATCAAATTGACTGTGTGCAAGAGAGAGGTTAGTGTACGATTGTGTTCAAGAGTGCAAAGACAGTGCATGAAAGTGTGAGTGTGTGCACGACAGAATGTGTGTGCCAGTGACTGTGCTAGAGAGTGTGTGAAAGAGAGTCAGCACAAGAGGGAGTGTTACAGCACGCATGAGACAGTGAGAGTGTCTGTGAGAGCGAGCGAGCGCGAGAGTAAGCGAATTTGCAAGCGTATGTGTGTGAGGGAGAGTTTTGTTGGAGTGTGTGTGTGTCTGTGTGTACTTGAGAGTATGAGCGTTGGCAAAAGAGCCTGCGACAGCGCATGCAAGTGTGCCACAGAATGTGTGCAAGAGCGTGCATGACCGTGTGACAGTATGGAGTATGAATGAGTGAGAATGTGACAGAGTGTGTTAGTGAGAGACTGTGACATTCGGTGTTCCTGATTCTGCGTGTGTGTGTGGATAGTATGTTTGTGCTTGAGGGACAGGATATGCATGTGCAATGTAGTGTGACTGTGAACTTCTGTATGTGCCTGTGAGCGAAGTGTTGGGGGAGAACAGGGAGAGGAGAAAGAGAGACAGAGAGAGAGAGCGCAAGAGAGAGATGAGATGAGGAATGGGAGATGATGAGTGATCAATACCTGGAAGAGAAAAGAACAGTGTGTGAGCATTAAGAGAAGCCACTGAATGTAATATGGAGGCTATTGTTTTATTGATTGTAATAAACGAAAAGCAAGTGTCACCTCTACGTGTTAGGGGACAGGAGATGCGCATTAGAGAAGGAGATATAATCAGCCTTGTTAGAGACAGCAGACAAGTTGAAAATGGCATAGAAACTGAAATTAAAGCTTTCTTGTCAATGTGTAAAGAGGTGAGACAAATATGACTAGTTAATATTGTACCCTTGCACTCAGTAAAATCATAGAATCATGAATCATAGAATCCTTACAGGTGTGGAAACCGGTCCTTCAGCCCAACATGTCCACACTGCCCTTCACAGCATCCCACCCAGACCCATCCACCTATAACCCACCTAATCTATACATCCCTGAACACCATGGGAAATTTAGCATGGCCAATCCACCTACCCTGCACATCTTTTGACTGTGGGAGAAAACTGGAGCACCCGGAGAAAACCCATGCAGAGACATGGAGAATGTGCAAACTCCACATAGACAGTCACCAAAGTGTGGAATTGAACCCAAGTTGCTGGTGCTGTGAGGCAGCAGTGTTAATCAGAGCCATTGTGCTCTTAATTATGCTAATTAAGCTTCAAGCATTTTTTTAAAGAAAGAAAACTTACCATCGTCATAGGATGCGAGTGCTTTCAATTTTCTATCAGCTTTGAGAACTTTATCCACATCTGCCTTCACGAGGGCAAGTGCGTACGCAGTGATGGCAATGGTGTGAGACTGGTTAATATTCAGCAGCTCGCCATGCAAAAATTTAACGGCACTTTCAATGCTTTTTTCCTAGGGGCATAATAGAAAGACGAGAACATGAAAAAATCCTGAAATCTTTCTCCAATTTCAATCTCAAAGGGAACATCCATTCATCAATAGCCATAACCAAACTGAACAGTAATTTGATTCACTTTAAATCAACTATAACACTAATTTCCAAAACTTTGAAAACTCAATGTCCTGTTTTTCGAAGATGTCTGCATGTTCCATATAAAATCATGTATTTTCCACTGCCTACCAGGCTAATCTCTTAACTTCAAGACTTTTAATGGTAAACTTACCAAACATTTGCTCACTATGACCTCTCTCTCTCTTTCTCTCTCTGTCTTGCCCTCTTTGATTTCTGTAATTCCCTCCATCCCTACCCTGAGCTACCTGTGCTCATTTGCTCTAGGCTTCTCCAATTTTCTGATGCTCGTGCTAATGCGTTCAGATCCCTGCACTGAATGTCTGCAATTTTTTTTCATAAGCCTCAATGACTACTGCCCAGTGGCTCTTACATCCATATTTATAACTATGAAGTGCTTTGAAAGGTTGGTCATGGTCACATCAACTCCAGCCTCCCACATTACCTTGATCCACTGCAATTCACCTACTGATGCAGCAGATCCATGGTAGATGCCCTCTCCTTGGCTTTACACACATCTCTGGAACATCCAGATAACAAGGACATCTATGTCAAGCTCCTACTTATTGACCACATCTCCACCTTCAACACCCTAATTCCAAACAAACACATCTCCAAGATTGTGAGTAGGATTAATTTCTTATATTTTTATACCAATTATATGACTGAATTAATTAAGTCGAATTAATTTTCAAGCAAGTCTAGGTTTCTTTTTATTTCACCAGAGTCCAAATGTAAATTTATTCACATTAAAATTATTTGTATGGTTAAGCCAGTCATTCATTCATGTAAGTTCAGAGCTGATCCACAGAGTCATATAGGTTATGACACTTAGAAAACATGATGTAGCGGAGAAGACACCTAACATGTATAGTCTTGATGATAACAAGGTGTAGAGCTGAATGAACACAGCAGGCCGAGCAGCATCAGAGGAGTAGGAAAGCTGACGTTTCGGGTCTAGACCCTTCTTCAGAAAATGGGTGCTGAAGAATCGGAGATAACAAGATGTAGAGCTGGATGATGCTACTTGGCCTGCTGTGTTCATCCAGCTCTACACCTTGTTATCTCAGACTCCCCAGCATCGGCAGTTCCCACTATCTATGTAGGCCTCCCCTATATCGGGGAAACCAAGCGGAGGCTTGGGGACCGCTTTGCAGAACACCTACGCTCGGTTTGCACTAAACAACTGCACCTCCCAGTTGCCAACCACTTCAACTCCCCCTCCCGTTCCTCAGATGACATGTCCATCCTGGGCCTCCTGCCAACGATGCCACCCGAAGGTTGCAGGAACAGTACCTCATATTTTGCTTGGGAACCCTGCAGCCTAATGGTATCAATGTGGACTTCACAAGCTTCAAAATCTCCCCTCCCACTACCGTATCCCAAAACCAGCCCAGCTTGTCCCTGCCTCCCTAACCTGTCCTTCCTCCCACCTATCCACTCTCCCACCTCAAGCCCCACCCCCACCTCCTACCTACCAGCCTCATCCCGCCCCCTTGACCTGTCCATCCTCCCTGGACTGACTGATCCCCTCCCTAACTCCCCACATACACTCACCTTTACTGGCTCCATCCCCGCCTCTTTGACCTGTCTGTCTCCTCTCCACCTATGTTCTCCTTTATCCATCTTCTATCCGCCTCCTCCTCTCTCCCTATTTATTTCAGAACCCCCTTCCCCTCCCCCATTTCTGAAGAAGTGTCTAGGCCCGAAACGTCAGCCTTACTGCTCCTATGATGCTGCTTGGCCTGCTGTGTTCATCCAGCTCTACACCTTGTTATCTTAGTCTCTATAATTGTTTTGTTTTCTAAATCCAGTGAATGCAATAGCCAATGGGAACAAATTGTGAAATTCCTTAAATTGTGAACATTTCTTCCTTTTCTTTTAGCTTATCATGTCCTTCCCTCCCTCCATCCCACTTACTGTCCTTTGAAGTCTAGCAGGAGACACACCATTGTTCTGCCATTCTCACATTCTTATCACTTAATCTGAACTATCAACATCTTTTCTTCATCAGCACTCTACACCCACCACCATCATCACCCTCACCTCCCCTCCCCCAAACTATAGCACTTCACACTTCAGCTCAGATGAAGAGTCACCTAACCTAGAAATGTTAGCTTGCTCTCTCTCCATGGATGTTGTCTGACTCACTGTGATCTCCAGCATTTGTTGTTCTCAATTGAATGCAATGGTCATGCTTCTCCTCCAATGGCTTGTCATGTATTTCCAATGCAAAATTTTATGAAATTTTGATTTTCAATTTCCGATTAAATGTGTTTCCTCTATTCTAAAAGATGCTGCAATAAACTCAAATTTCATAAATCATATTTCAAACACCATTACCCACAGAGTTAACAAGGTGCAGAGCTGGATGAACACAGCAGGCCAAGCAGCATCATAGGAGCAGTAAGGCTGACGTTTCGGGCCCCGTATCCAACTATAATTGTCACATTCCCAAATCCTGATTCAATTTTTTCTAATTATGGGCCACGTGGTTAAAAAAAGACACTTAGAGTCATAGAGATATACAGCAGGGAAACAGACTCTTTGGTCCAATTTGTCCATGATGACCAGATATCCTAAATTAATTTGCCAGCATTTGGCCCCTATTCCTCTCAACCCGTCCTATTCATATACCCATCCAGATGCCTTTTAAATGTACAAGCCTCCATCACTTCCTCTGGCAGCTCATTCCATACACGCACCACTATGAAAAAAATTGGGTCCCTTTTAAATCTTCCCTCTCTCATTTTAAACCTATTCCCTCTAGTTTTGGATTCCAGCACCCCAGGGAAAAGATCTTGGCTGTTCACTCTATCCATGTCCCTCATGATTTTATAAAATTCTATACGGTCAGCCCTGAACCTCCAATGCTCCAGGAAAAAAGCCGCTGCCTATTCAGGCCCACTGTATACCTCCAACCTCCGATACTGGCAACATCCTTGTAAATCTTTTCTGAACCCTTTCAAGTTTACAACATCCTTCCTATAGCAAGCAGACCAAAATCGATTGCAATATTCCAAAAGCAGCCTAACCAACGTCCTGTATGGCTGCAAAATGACCTCCCAACTCCTATACTCAATGCACTGACCAATAAAGGCAAGCATACCAAATGTCTTCTTCATATCCTTTCTACCGGTGACTGTACTTTCAAGGAACTATGAAACTGCACTCCAAGGTCTCTTTGTTAAGCAACACTCCCCACGACCTTCCCATTAAGTGTATACGTCCTGCCCTGATTTGCCTTTCCAAAATGTAGCACCTCACGTTTATCTAACTTAAAATCCATCTGCCACGCCTCGGTCTACTGGCCCTTGTCAATGTCCCATTGTATTCTGAGGTGACCTTCTTGGCTGTCTACTACACCTTCAATCATTGGGAAACTTACTAACGATACCTTCTATTTTCATATCCAAATCATTTCATCACTTCAACTCCCCCTCCCACACCCTGCACGACACGTTCATCCTGGGCCTCTTCCAGTGTCACAATGATGCCACCCGGAAACTGGAGGAGCAACACCTCATATTCCGCCTTGGGAGCCTACAACCCAATGGTCTCAATATGGACTTTACCAGCCTCAAAATCTCCCCACCTCCGGCCTCATCCCAAGACTAGCTACCCCCCTCATCCCCGCCTCCATGACCTGTCCGTCTTCTCTCCCACCTATCCATTCCTCCCACCTCACTGACCAACCCCCACCACCGCTTAGAATCATGATTCTTTTCATACCTCATCAGCTCAAAGCTACTTCTAAAATCTATTTTCCAATTGTTGGAAAAAGTGAGATAAAGAGAAGTAAAAGAAGTTACATTCTTACCACTCGTGAAATCTCTGCAATATTATTCAGTTGAAAGGCCGCCAAGGAATGATGCAATGCTATTGCCACAAACGCTGTAAGGGAGACATCTTTTTCAGTTCCACTAACTCCACCCTAAGGAAGACAAACCCATATAACATATTTAGTGACTTAAAACATACTCTATTATTGTCCAAGGTGTAGAGCTGGATGAACACAGCAGGCCAAGCAGCATCAGAAGAGCAGGAAAGCTGACGTTTCGGGCCTAGACCCTTCTTCAGAAAATGGGCGCTGGAGAATCTGAGATAACAAGGTGTAGAGCTGGATGATGCTGCTTTGCCTGCTGTGTTCATCCAGCTCTACACCTTGTTATCTCAGATTCTCCAGCATCTGCAGTTCCTACTATCTCTATTATTGTCCTTTCACTTTATTGAACTAATATGAACCAGTAGTTTTGTTTAGGCTTGCGTAATCTTGCAGTTATTGGCCTGTAAAAAATCCTGAATTAATCTTGATCAACTGATTGGAGAAGGGATGAATTTTATAGAAATTTTTGTTTTCCACCAATTTGCACAGGGCATTGTGGGTGGTTGAAGGACAGTGTTATTATCCTCCAGGTCTGTGGACAGCAGCATTGCCAACTTGCCAATTTGCATATACGTACAATATTCATTATGTAGCAATAACACATAATTAACCAATAAGGTTTACTAAAAACAACTCTCAAATATCATTGGAAATTTAAATATTTATCACAGAGTTTGAAGGATTAAATTCAATGATACAAAGCAAAAATCAGCAAAGATAGGTGCAATTGGTCAGCGCTTTTGCCACTAAGTGGAGGTTGGCAGCTTGAGGCCACCCAGGAACAAGCAAGCTCTATTCTAACTCCAAGGGCAGCACAGTGGCTCAGTGGTTAGCACTGCTGCCTCACAGTGCTAGGGACCCAGGTTTGATCCCACCCTTGGGCGATTGTCTGTGTGGAGTTTGTACATTCTGCCCATGCCTACATGGGTTTCTGCTGGATGCTCTGGTTTCCTCCCACAGTCCAAAGATGTGCAGGCTAGGTGTATTGGCCATGCCAAAATTGCCTGTTGTGTTTAGGGATGTGTAGATTAGGTGTGTTAGTCATGGGAAATGCAGGGTTACTGAGAAAGGGTAGGGGGATGGGTCTGGGTGAGATGCTCTTTGGAGGGTTGCTGTGGACTTGTTGGGCCAAAAGGGCCTGTTTCCACACTGTAGGGATTCTATGATATGAAAGTATCTTTTGAAGTGTACACTCATGGGTATGCTGTAACAGAGACCTTGAGATATTGCATTACAAATATTTGGAACTAGACTGTCAATTCAGACATAGCATCAAAAAAAGGTCATGGAAGTTGTCACCTATATATAGCGGAAGTGAGGAAAATCCGGCAGGAAATGGTGTCAAAAGGCAGAGTATCTTTTATTCATCTTCAGTTAGTTTGTCCAAGGCACTGGATGCTGGCAGGATGTGAAGCATTTAAGAAATGCATAAGAAAGCACATATAAGGACCTGTACATCTTTGGACGATGGGAGGAAACTGGAGCACCCAGCAGAAGCCCCTCGCAGACGCGGGGAGAATGTGCCAACTCCACACAGATAGTTACCCAAGACTGGAATCGCAACTGGCTCCCCAGTGCATGAGCAGCTCTAACCACTGAGCAACTACGTTGCCCAGAAGGGGTTTAATAAGCCCATACTTTATTTCCATTAATAGATGGGTTAAGACAGATCCAATCCTATATGTCCTATCAAAATAACATATTGTAAACATCATGACAACAATCATAAATGATTTTGAATAAGTAAATCAAAAAAATAAAAATAGTTCCAAAGCCTAAATACTAGATAAGGAGCAGTTAAGATGAATAGCGCAACAACAAAAGGGCCATATTTTATGTAACCATTGGTAACGCTTGAAAATAGAGTCACCAGTAGAGATGTGGAGTAGCTTGATGATTCATTCCAGTGTTTGAAGGAATGCAACTCCAAAGGTCACAAGTTCTCCTTCAATACCACCTTATAACAGTGACTGCATCAACCTGTATTTATGGGCCTGACTGGAAACCCACACAACAAGCATAAACAAAAAAAATGATCTAAGGTGATAGGAGAACAAAAATGTATGTATGCAACATCTTTGAAAAGCAATTATTTGTAGTGGATGCAAGCCTATAAGGAATCTCGTTTCGCAGATTATATTCAATTGCACTGCAGTTCATGCCAGTCAGAATCAGTTTTCTTTTTTTGACAGATAACTAAATGTCCATCACAATGAACTTTGATTGATCAGAATATTTTAAGTAAGGACTATGTCTAGGGTGAGCTGACGGCATTACGGGATGGAGAAGGTACACGCACTGCTGGCATCTTGAGACCATTGAATGAGCAAGCACGGACACAAAGGTTGTAACAGGTAACAATTGTACAGGCAATATCAAAAAGGAGAAAGAAAAGAGTGCACTCAATGAAACATTAACATAAAAAAAGATAGAAGCAGCATATATGGACAGAACCTGTATGTCTCTGGTTATCACTGGATGGGGATCTTCAAATGCTCCAGATACTTTTTGCCCATGGATGAGGTAGGCTACAGATTCCCGAATGAATTTGTCATTGACAACAATTTGTGTTCGCGCCATTGAGAGTATTTTTACAACAAACGCAGTCAACCTGAAAGGAAACAAATCTGTTATGTGCACACAGTGAAGTACTCAAATTACTACGGCATATTCGTAACTTGATACATATCATTTTTGGCAGCCTCATCCAAAAAAATTTAGAAATTTAGTTTCAACATTTCAACTTCCTTGGCTCAATTTGAGATGCCCCCTGTCATCTATCTTCTTCTACTAAACCATCATTATAGAATCCCTACAGTGTGGAAGCAGGCCATTTGAGTCTACACTGACCCTTCAAAGAGCATTCCACCCAATCCCTGCATTTCCCATGGCTAATCCATCTACCTTACACATTTCTGGATACTACATGCAATTTAGCATGGCCAATCCACCTAACCTGCACATATTTGGAATGTGGGAGGAAACCCAAGCAGACACTGGGAGAATATGCAAACTCTACACAGACAGTCGTCCAAAGGTGGAATTGAACCCAGATCTCTGGCACTGTGAAGCAGCAGTGCTAACTGCTGTGTCACTGTGACACATTTAGGTGGCTAAATTCTAAATTCATAGAATTTACAGTGCAGAAACAGGCCATCCGGCAGAACAAGTTCACACCACCCTGCCAAAGAGCATCCCACCCAAACACTTTCCCTTACATTTCCCATGTCTAACCAGAAGCTGGAATTGAACCCAGGTCCCTAGTGCTGGGAGGCAGCAGTGCTAACCACTGAGCCATTGCACCACCCTATGTCACCACTCTATGTCAAAATTTGACAACTCTCCTGTGAAGTTCCACATGATTGGGCATTCTACTCTGCACAGATGCAATCTTAATTTCATTAATCTCTCTTGTTCCTGAACAAATATTCTAACAATTTTAAAACCAATCTACTTTCATTGAAACAAAATGTTCGCTTGTCCTGTGCTTTTTAATGACACCTAAGTGTGAATTATCAAAAGACACTACCCTTAATATTATCTTCCAATGATTTATTACTTCTCAAATGCGCTAAGAATTTTTAATGAATATCCAAGTGAAAATGGGTGTGGAAGACAAGACGAGAAAATGTAACTGAATACAGAATGAGACACGCACCACGTGCTGCTTGGATAAGTTTTCCAGGCTCCATAGGACCCGTCATCTTTCTTATATCCCAAAATTCTATTATACCCTGGAAAAGAATATACCATGTTTGTTATAGCATGTGCTTATTTTCCTTTGAGTGTAGAAAAGAGTTGATATGATCGAGGTGTTAAACTTTAAGTAGCTGTTTTAAGCTCATGTCTGGAGAAGTTGCTTCATCTTCGATCATTTTGGAGCTATACTTCTCAGAACAGACATCAGGAATTTCCAGAAGAAGTAGCTGAAATCTGAATGCCTCGCCTCAAATCGATTATGCATGGAATGTCTCAGCTGAAGTTTTCACGATCACATTAGGAACTTTTCTTTTAAGTCTGAGCATAGAGGTAAAATAAAACGAAATCTAAAAAACCATTGACATTTTAATCAAGTTGTGTGTAAATATTAAATTTAAAAAACTTCACAACAATACAGCTTTTATGAGGATTTAGACTTATATTGCTCTTGGCGCTCGCTAAGTTTGAAGGCCTTTTGTTAAAGAGGACTTCATAGTTAATTGCTCTGTAATTTAACTATAATGTACTTTTATTCTCCTAGGTGTTATATGAAACTAGATAAATCATAACTCACATTTTAAGATAATGTCTCTCCTGGGATGAAAACAAGTGATAAATTGTGTATTATTATTGTACTGATACAACAGCTTTAAGAGGTGTATTAGCCCACAAATAAGCAGTCTGAATGGAAAGTGTCAAGCTCCCACAGAGTCAGGATTTTTAGTTTCAGTTTTGGTTTTTCAACAGCAGTTGCTGGCCCTTTGGAGCTGGGTTTGGAAGCTGTAGTACATCTCTCCCTGCTACACTTTCTCTGTTTTCCCCTCTGCACTGGAGAATTGCCTGTAAGACAATCTATTTTACTGAATTCTGCCTTTTGCCAAGGTGTGTCTAAGGAATGTTACTATATTGGAACAGTTAATTAGCAGTGATTAATATAGCTGCAAAGTATTTGCAAGATGGCAGCTGAGTAAGATGCTCCAACCAGAGCTCTACTTTTTTTTCCTCTTTTCTTTCCTCCTTTCTGCATTTCTTTTCAGCTAATGATTTGGCCTTACCTGGAGGAGAATGGAGGAGCTGAAGAGCCCCGGAGGCAAATCCTGAAACAGAGGCCAGTGCAGGGAATCGAATCCCAAAGTGGAGGCTGGGATGAGGAAGTAGTCCTGGAGCAGAGGCCAGTGGGTGAAGTGCATCCCGGAGAAAACTTACCTTGCAGCAGCTAAGAGCCGGTGCGGAGTGGACTGGAGCAGGGATGATTGTTGGACTGGGGGTCTGGTGCAGGCGGTCAGACCTCATGTGGAAGCCCCTGCACTGAGCTACTGCAATGTGATGCTTATTTATAATTCGGTTATCTTATTCTGTGAATCACTGTAAAGTAATGCAACGACTTCTCTTTTTCATTGCTCGTTTTGTATCTAAGACCTGCACCTAGGTACTTGTACTTAAGATGGCACCATAAGAAGCAACATTGTATAACTTTTCACTGTACTCCTGTACTTGAGTACAGGTGACCATAAAGAACATTCTATTCTATTATTTTATTTAGCATTTCAATTTACAGTTAAGACAATTCTTTTCTTTGTCTATATTTTAACGGTAGTGTAAAAATAAAGCGTGTTTTGCTTAACGTCAAGTAGTTTGACAATCAAATTGCATCTGGAATGCAACACCTTACACTTACCTTTAAAATAAGAAAAAGTTACCGTCTAGGGTATCTTCTGAATATATTTCGAGGGGGTTTGGTCTGATCCATAACAATATTGCAATATTGTGAAAGAAACATCTGAAATTTGTGCCAGTAGTAATCAGACTACCTGCTAACAATGCATGAAAATGAAGCCAGATTTTCGGAAATTTCCACATTCCAAATCAGAGTTTCAAACAAAGGATGTAGAAACGTTCTGAAAATTCAGTTTGGACACCCTTTTTTCAGTCAATTGAAACAAAAACATTAGATTGAGGAAATGTGATTTAACATACCAGGAGATGGCCATTTGAGTATAATGCAAGTGCCATCTCTTTGCAAAAGCGGTTAACATTGTTCCAACTGCATGAGTAAAGTAAACTCAATTGATGTTAAATCTTGGTCATTGCGTTCACTGGCAAATCAAATAAAGGCCTTCTATAAAGCATTGCCTTATAAATAGTTTAAGCGCTTTTCTTACAGAGTAACTGAAGGTTCATACAACATAACTACACTGTCAAAATTCAAACCCTAGTCAAGTTTAATCTGCACAGTGAGCCTGAAGTTGAATGGAAGTAACATCTGGAAAAAAAGAAGCAAACATGCACAGCTGAATATTCGCCTTCTGTAATGCAATATTCAATGATGCTATGAGCCAATTTTCCTTAGTGGTTTTAAATGGCAGCAATGCTTTCTAATTCTACATTTGAGGAATTGTTTTCTTTAAGGAATGCATAGAAAGGAAGCAATAAGGGACTAATTTAACTGAAAAGGTTTGTTGCTGGATCCTATGTTATCCTAAAGGAAATAAGGTTACCTGTTTCAATGTGGAAGATTGCTTCGTCCTTGCGTTCGGCTTTAAGTGATAGCCATTGATCGCTTTGGTCAAGGTATTCAACAGCAAAGACTGTAGGGGCCATATGCATCGCCGTTTGCTCCGCACAACCAGTCGGGACTTTAATGAGATTGTCAATTCCAGCAGCACTTAGTGAGTTCTCCACTGCCTCTCCCATTACTGTCCCTAAAACAACAGGGTTCAAGTTTCAAATAAGAAAAAGTTACCGTCTTAGACTATCTTCTAAATATATTTCGAGGGGGTTTGTTCTGATCCATAACAACATTACAATATTGTGAAAGAAACATCTGAAATTTGTGCCAGTAGCAAGCAGACTACCTGCTAGCAATGCATGAAAATGAAGCTTTTAGAAGACGACAAATTTCATTTCTCTTCTCAGATCTATACAGAGTTTCTTGCAATTCCAACACTCTTTATGCAGTACGGAAGTGGTTAACTGCATAGAACTGTAGTGATTGTTACAAGGTCAGCCAAGTGGACCTCATAGAATATGAGTCCTCTGAGTGGTCTAATCAGTGAAGCCTGGCTGACAGATAAAAACAGGAGTGTCAGACATTCAGGCATTCTTGCAGTTGACTCTGATAAGGCTGTATTAGAGTCAAGGACTTTTCATGTGTAAGTAAAGGGTGACTTGGTGTTGGGATACTGGCCTCTGTGGAATTATTTCAGTGGCAACAAGAATAAAGCACATCGTAAAGAAACTCACTACCACAGTCGTCTTTGAGTTTGGTAAGGATTGCTTACATCGTGCATTATTTGGGAAGCTTGATTCGTTCAACCCCGCTATCAAAGACTGGGCCCCAGTATGCATTACTTTTTCCCAGAAAAATGACATTAGGGTAGATGAAAAGCAACGAGTAATTCTCCAGCTTGGAGACCAACAGCTTTTTTGGTTTTTAGGAGCCTAACTTTCCCCGAGGCACCAAATACTATAACCTTTCAAGGGTTGACGGTTAGGAATATTGTGACCCCAAGCCTCCTATAATTCTGAGACATTACCGGTTTTACTCAGCGATTCAAGAATCAAGGGAATCCATGTCAGGATTTTTGATGTGGTTAAAATGTCTAGCAGAGGCATGTGACTTTGGTTTAACTGGTTGAGGGACTGGTTGGTATGTGGATTAATGATATAACCGTGCAAAAGCAACCGTCAGCTGAAGCCTAACTGGACTTCAACAACTGGCTTTATCGTTGGAAAATACAGCAGATGGAGCATATGAGCTGTAGGATATTCTGATGGAAGTAGACACCCTCGCTAGTCTGATTGAGCTTGGAGAACACTACTTGGGTGCAGCCAATTACATAGCCTCAACTCAGGGCATGCCCTGAACAGAGGGACTCTAGCTCAGCCCACAGAAAAACCTAAAAACAAAGCCAAGCCTCAGCCAAACAGTTTAATACAGGCCAGCAAGCCATTGTAGTTGCCGCTGGTATGTGAATTTGAGATAGCAAAACTAAATGGAGAGAACTCATAGGCCAGTGTGCAGGAGAGTGTACACCCTGGGAAATCTACCTACATCTTACTTGGAACAGTTAAATTGCTTAGCAACATGCAAATCAGAACCAAAATAAAAATAAATGTTTGTTTAAACGGTCATCCCTAATGGAGCTCAATATTGGCACAGCTATATCAGTGATCACAGGATCAGTCTTCACAAAGTTTGCTCTGGGCTCCAACCCTTGTTTTCACAAGGCCTCAGCCAGGCTGACAACCTATACCAGGGAACCTATTATAGATTAAGGGAACAACATTTTTTTCTGGTTTCTTATGAAAAGTAGCTGGTTCAGTTACCACAGATTGTAGTAAAAGGCTCTGGCTCAAGCTTGATATTTTTTGGGGAGGGAAGGAAACGGTTGAGAAAGGTTCACCTCAATTGGCTCTTTTTCCTTGATTACAAAATGGCTGCCTGAGTGAAGTCCTAATTAAATTCATGGAAATCTTCCAGGAAGGTCGAGGAGCTATCAAAGGAGCCAAGGACTCCTTACATGTTCACCAGGAAGCAATTCCACAATTCTGCAGTGCCATTTGACTTATGTGCAAAAGTAGATGAGGAAATTAGAGGCTTGAAAGCAAAGGAATTATCAAACTGCAGAAATGGGCAGCATCGGGTACCGATTTTGAATCTCGATGGATCAGTTCGCCTTTGTCAGAATTTTAGCAAATGGGAAATTGTTTTTCACAGCTTGGTAAACACACAATCCCTTACATAGGGGAATTATATGCAAAGTTGGCAGGGGGACTGTCCTTCATGAAGCTGGACATGAGCCATGTACACTTGTGATTTCAGTTAGATGAGAGTTCTTAGAAGTATGCTACAATTAATACCCATAAAGGTTTGTACCAAATATACAAGACTGCCATTAGGGGGTATCCTCAGCCTGTGCACCTTTTCAGTGGACATGAGAGAACATTTTGCAAGGTTTATCCAAGGTTGACATTTATCTAGATGACATGCTAATAACCAGGAAGACCTGTCAGAGAACTTGGAAATAGTCATTAGACATTTCTGCTCGGTGGTTATATGCCTTAGAAGGAAAAAATATATGTTTCAGGTACCCCAAGTGACCTATTTGGGCTACAGAGTCGACAAACCAGGTTACACCTGTTCAAACGTAAAGTGAGGTTGATCAAAGATGCCCCCGGCTTTCACTTCTGTACCGGAGCTTAGATCTTTCCTTGGGCTGGTGAATTATTAAGGAAAATTCATTAATAACTTGGCCTCCATTCAATTTATGTACCTTTGCATCAACTCCTAAAAAAACAAAGAGTCAGCCTTGGAAATGGTTGAGTAGCCACACCATAGCTTTCAGGGAAGTGAAGAAATAGCTATTGTCTTTTAAGATGTTGGAATACTATGACCCCAAGTATGGCATCTATATAGTATTAGCTCATAGGCGGCCCAAAGGAGAAGAATGTCCAATAGTGTATGCTTCCAGGGCTTTGGCTAATGCAGAGCATATAGATAGAGGAAGGAGGAATGGCGGTCATATTTGGAGTCAGGAAGTTGCATCAATACTTTTATGGACATAAATTTGTAATAATAATCATCAAGTGGTATGGCAAAAGCAAAACCTGAGAAAACAACATTTTTTCTCTCAGTAAAAGAAAACCCAACTGCTGCCTAATGAACTCCAAAACTCTTTATCCAGGATCACCCAAGTCAAACATGGTAGAAATTCCACCTCAGACCACTGTATTCAAACAATCTGCCTTGGAAAACCTGTGTATGGCAGCACAATGGCTCAGTGGTTATAACTGCTGCCTTACAGCACCAGGGTCCTGGGTTTGATTCCACCCTTGGGTGACTGTCTGTGTGGAGTTGGCATGTTCTCCCCTTGTCTGTATGGGTTTTCTCTGGGTGCTCTGGTTTGCTCCCACAGTTCAAAGGATATGCTGGATTGGCCATGCTAAATTGCCCCATTGTGTTCAGGGATGTGTAGATTGGGGGGACGGGTCTGGGTGGGATGCTCTGACGGTCAGTGTGGACTTGTTGGGCTAAAGGGCCTGTTTCCACACTGTAGCAATTTTATGATAATAGACCACAAACAGCTGCTAGATCTATTTAAAAAGGACAAGACTGTGCTGACCATAGCTTCAGGATGAATTCAGCAGTGGGCTCTAATACTAAGTGCATATCTGGGAGGCCAAGTAGTGAATGTGGATGCATCAAGCCACCTCCCTCAGGCAGATGCACCACCGGTGGTTCCGCCACTGTAAGATTCCGTAACGGTTTTAAAATTTTCTGGACACGCTTCCAGTCACAGCTGACAATATCAGACTTTGGATGTAGAAAAGTCCAGTCCTGGCAAATCTGAAACTGCTGGTGATGATGGAGAAAGTCAAAAAGGTTTTACAACCAGAATTGAAACCTTTTTGGACCCAGAGAGACCAGATCACAGTAGAGGATGGCATATTGTTATGGGGAGCAAGAGTGATTGTCGAGCAAAGGCCACTGCCAGATACTGACTGAACTCAACCAGGGTCATTCAGGGGTTTCCAAAATGAAGATGTTGGTGAGAAGTTACATCTAGTGGCCAGGATTGGATGCAGACATAGCCGTGTTAGTGGGGCAGTGCCCAGAGTGCCAACAAGGACAAAATTATTGCCAGCAGCTCCCCCACATTTATGAGAACAGTTGGCTAAACCCTGGACTTGGTTACATGTCAGCTATGCAGGTCCTTTCATCGGCTCAATATTCTCAGTCATTGTGGATGCCCACTCAAAGTGGTTGGACATGCATAGAGTTTATTCGTAAAACACAGGAACGACGATAGAAACACTACTTGCATCTTTTGCAATACATGAATGCCCGCAAGTGTTGGCCACAAATAATGGGCCATCATTTACCAGCAGGAAATTTGAGTATTTCCCAAAGTCAATTGACCATTGCCGATTGTTGGAAAAACCTATCTAGTTCACTAACGTCCTTCAGGGAAGCAAATCTGCCACCCTCACCTGGTCTGGCCTACAAGTGACTCCAGACCCACAGCAATGTGGTTGACTCAACTGCCCTGTGAAATGGCCTAGCAAACCACTTGGTTGTATCAAGCAGTACACAAAGTCTCAAAGAAACGAAATTGTATGGATTACTAGGCATCAAGCTAGGCACCAAAAAGACAACAGCAGAAACTGACTTGTTAACCTTGCAATTCCTCCTCACTAACATCTGGGGGCTAGTGCCAAAAATGGGAGAGCTGTCTCACAGACTAGTCAAGCAACAGCCTGACGTAGTCATACTCACAGAATCTTACCTTCCAGATAATGTCCCAGATACACCACCATCACAATCCCTGGATATGTCCTGTCTTACCGACAGGACAGACCCAGCAGAGGGGGCGGCACAGTGGGATACTGTCAGGAGGGAGTTGCTCCAGGAGTCCTCAACATTGACTCAGGACCCCATGAAATCTTGTGGCTTCAGGTTAAACATGGGCAAGGAAACCTCCTGCCGAATCCCACATACCATCCTCCCTCAGCTGATGAATCAGTACTCGTCAATGTTGAACAACACTTAGAGGAAGCACTGAAGATGGGTGGGGGATTTCAATGTCCATCACCAAGAGTGGCTTGGCAGCAGTACTACTGATCAAGCTGGTGGGGTCCTAAAGGACACAGCTGCTGGACTGGGTCTGTGGCAGGTAGTGAGGGAACCAACAAGAGGGAAAAACATACTTGACTGCCAGCTGCAGTTGCATCTGTCCATGACATTATTGGTAAGAGTGGCCATTGCACAGTCCTGGTGGAGACGAAGTCCAGCCTTCACATTGAGAATAACCTCCATCATGTTGTGTGGCACTATTACTAAATGGGACAGACTTTGCACAGATCTAGCAACTCAATACTGGGCATCCATGAGGTGCTATGGGCCATCAACAGCAGCGGAATTGTACTCCAACACAATCTGTAACCTCTTGGCCTGGCATATCCCCCACTCAACCATTACTATCAAGCCAGGGGATCAACCCTGGTTCAATGGAGAGTGCAGGAGGGCATGCCAGGAGCAGCACCAGGCAAACCTGAAGATGAGGTATCATCCTGGTGAAGCCACCAAACAGGACTACTTGCATGCCAAACAGCGAAAGCAGCAAGTGACAGACAGAGCTAAGCAATCCCACAATAACAGATCCGATCTAATCTTTGCAGTCCTGCCACATCCAGTTGTGAATGGTTGTGAACAATTAAACAACTCACTGGAGGAGGTGGCTGCACAAATATCCCCATCCTCAATGATGGAAGAGCCCAGCAATCTTCAGCCAGAAGTGCCTATTGGGTGATCCATCTCAGCCTCCTCCAGTGGAGCCCAGCATTACAGATACCAGTCTTCAGTTAATTTGATTTCAAGAAACAGTTGGAGACAGACACTGGATACTGCAAAGGCTACGGGCCCTGACAACATTCCGGTAATAGTACTGAACAAAGAACAAAGAAAATTACAGCACAGGAACAGGCCCTTCGGCCCTCCAAGCCTGCGCCGATCCAGATCCTCTATCTAAACCTGTCGCCTATTTTCCAAGGATCCATATCCCTCTGCTCCCTGCCCATTCGTGTATCTGTCTAGATACATCTTAAATGACGCTATCGTGCCTGCCTCTACCACCTCTGCTGGCAACGCGTTCCAGGCACCCACCACCCTCTGCATAAAGAACTTTCCACGCATATCTCCCTTAAACTTTTCCCCTCTCACCTTGAAATCGTGACCCCTGAAGAAGGGTCTAGGCCCGAAACGTCAGCCTTCTTGCTCCTCTGACACTGCTTGGCCTGCTGTGTTCATCCAGCTCTACACCTTGTTATCTCAGATTCTCCAGCATCTGCAGTTCCTGCTAGCTCCCTTAGCCAAGCTGTCCCAGTACAGTTACAACACTGATATCTATCCAACAATGTGGAAAATTGCCCAACTATGTCCTGTACACAAAAAGCAGGACAAATCCAACCTGGCCAATTACCGCACTATCAGTCTACTCTCGATCATCAGTAAAGTGATGGAAGGTGTCATCAACAGTGCTATCAAGCAGCACCTGCTCAGTGACACCCAGTTTGGGTTCCACCAGGGCCACTCAGCTCCTGACCTCATTACGGCCTTGGTTTAAACATGGACAAAAGAGCTGAATTCCAGAGGTGAGGTGAGAGTGACTGCCCTTGACATCAAGGCTACATTCAACAGAGTGTGGCCTCAAGGAGCTTTAGCAAAACTGGAATCAATGGGTATCGGGGAAAAATCTCTGGTGGTTAGAGTCATATCTCACACAAAGGAAGATGGTCATGGTTGATGGAAGACAATCATTTCAGCTCCAGGACATTTCTGCAGGAGTTCCTTAGGGTAGTGTCCTAGGCCTAACCATTTTCTGCTGCTTCATCAATGCCCTTCCCTTCATCATAAGGTCAGAGGTGGGGATGTTCACCGATGATTGCACAATGTTCAGTACCATTTGCGACTCCTCAGATACTGAAGCAGTCCATGTTCACATGCAACAAGATCTGGGCAATATCCAGGCAAGTAATATTTGTGCCACACAAATGCCAGGATATGACCATCACCAACAAGAGACAATCTAACCATTGCCCCTTGACATTCAATGGCATTACCATCACTGAATCCCCCACTATCAACATCTGGGGTTTAATCATTGATCAGAAACTCAACTGGACTCAACACATAAGTGCAGTGGCTACAAGACCAGGTCAGAAGCTAGGAATACTGCGGCGAGTGACTCACCTTCTGACTCCTCAAAGCCTGTCTACCACCTACAAGGCACAAGTCAGGCGTGTGATGGAATACTCCCCACTTGCCTGGATGGGTGCAGCCCCAACAACACTCAAAGCTTGACACCATCCAGGACAAAGCAGCCGCTTGACTGGCACCACATCCACAAGCATCCATTCCCTCCATCACCGACGCTCAGTAGCAGCAGTGTGTACTATCTACAAGATGCACTGCAGAAATTCACCAAAGATCCTTAGAAAGCACCTTCCAAACCCAGGACTACTTCCCTCTAAAAGGACAAAGGCAGCAGATTCATGGGAAGACCACCGCATCCACGCTCCCCTCTAAGTCACTCATCATCCTGACTTGGAAATATATTGGAAATATATTGCCATTCCATCATAGTCACTGGGCCAAAATCTTGGAAATCCCTCCCTAACGGTATTGTGGATCAACCCACAGCAGGAGGACTGCAGCGGCTCAAGAAGGCAGCTCACCACCACCTTCACATGGGCAATTAGGGACAGGCAATAAATGCTGGCCAGACAGCGACACCCCCATCCACAAAATGAATAAATAAATAAATAAATAAAGGCATTCAGCATATAAGGACAACTCCATACCATCAATCATCTAATGGTCTGATAGAAAGAGCAGTTCAAACTTTGAAGGTAGGCTTAAAGAAGTAGTGTACAGCTTCTCTCGATAACAAACTGTCCGATTCCTATTTGATTATTTGATCGTGCAACTACAGAGCCAGCTCCAGCAGTGGAGATCATGGGAAGAAGCATCCACATTTAGATAAATCTGATCTTCCCAGATCTCGAGGCTGTGGGGGAGGGCGGGGAAGATGAAATGGCACCAGGAATGCCAATGTCGGACACAAGATATCACTAAGAAAGAGACAGAGACACAGTTTATTTCAGGGGACGACGTTTGGTGCAGGCGCCATGGGAATGGCCCTGTATGGATAAGGGGCATGGTCGACATGAGGTCAGGTCCAGTGTTATATAAAGATCACGTAGATGCGACGGCCCTGAACAAGCAGGCAGACCATATCAAAGCTGCAAACTTGCAAACGGGGCGGGAACACAACGTGCCTGGCTCCTCAGAACAGGCAGCAAGGCTGGTGTAACCCATGGGTTCTCCCTCTTCTTCAAGTGTTGAACAGACCTGGGAACCGGAGATGGACACGGTAGATATCATCGCATCATTGCCTTTGCCAACTGCAGGGGAGAATGAATTTCTTCCGAGACACTCCGGGCACAAGATGTGAGCTACTGTGCGTTACTCGCCCTTATCTGACGAGGAGTCAGAGGAACCTGAACCAGCGCTAAAATGCCCCAGGAGGAGCTATGAAGAACCAGCTTGTGTCCGTGAAGTCAGTGGGGGAGGGATGTAGTGATTGTAATGAGTCAGCCAGGTGGATCTCAGAATTGGTTCCCTGACTGGTGCTGTTAATCTGGTCCAGATAGGAAGCCCTGGCTGACAGATAAAAACCTGGAGTGTCAGACATCCATTTGACTGTGACATGCTGTTTCAGAATCATGGATGTGCAAATAAAGGCTGATCTGGTGACAGGATACCAGACTCCGTGGAGTCACTTCAAGAACAATATTTTCCAAGTGCACAAACTTCTGAGATTGTTTGGGTCAATAGTTAGTCTTCATGAATAAAAACAACAGAAATAGCTAGAAAAACTCAGCAATTCTGCAGGGAGAAATCAGAGTTAATGTTTCGGGTCCAGTAACCCTTCCTCAGGACTGAGGACACTGGACCCGAAACGTTACCTCTGATTTCTCTCCACAGATTCTGCCAGACCTGCTGTGATTTTCCAGCAATTTCTGCTTTTGTTTCTTATTTCCAGCATCCATAGTTCTTTCGGTTTTTCATTAGTCTTCATGTCTTTGAATCCAAAATTGAGCTCCTGTCTCGAGATTGAAACAAAAATTCCAGGCTGAAAACTCTAATGCAGTAACGATAGAGACAACAGTACACATACAAAAACATGATGCTTTGGAAGCTTCACAGTCGGATGGTTGAGAAATGGGAAGTTATTTGCCGTAACGTAGCTGAATGGCATAAGGGGTAAATTGACTACTGTTGTTTCCATTTCCTACGTGCCTCACTTCTCTATCTTCTAGGAACTGTGACCCAATCTTATAATATTACTTCCATTAATTTAGGCTAATGTATATCCCATATTTATTCAGCTATCGCTTGAACACTTCAAGGATGCTATTAAAGACCCTGTTCAGCCTCGCCAAAAGATAGAATGCTAAAAGAGAAATGCAATATATACTCACCTGTGGCACGGATGTACATATAATTGTCAGTGTCAGGTACCAAGTTAGATGGCTCCTCTTCAGATATTTCATAGGTGCTTTTTGCTGGAAAAGATAGAGTGTTTAGGATGACAACCTGGAATGTAAAGTAAAAGCAAAACCCTTTGGATGCTGTAAATCTGAAACATGTAGCAAGAATGCTGGAGAAACCCAGCTGTACAGAGAGAAACAGACTTAACATTTCATGTCCCTTTTTTTTTCTGGATGACAGTGTAGCTCCATATTTTTCATCACTCCTGAAATCATCACCCCTCCATGGCCTTGACTAAACCTCCTCACACTGTGCTTCCTGCAAGGACTCCATTTCATTCTCACATATTCCCCATCTCTCTCATGTCCGTTCTGATGATGCCACTTTCTACTGGGCTGCATCCACATGACATGGTTAACAGGACTTCAGCCATATCCAACCTATCTCACACTTCTGCTCTCATCCATTCCTCTCATTCACAAAGAATCATAGGATTCCATTCTTCTTTAATTTCCACCCAAATCGTCACTGCTTTCAAAAGCATCATCTCTCACATTTATACCACCTCCAGCAGAATGCCACCACTGAACATATCATCCCCCCATTCCACTGTCACTGTGTCACTAGATTGATTTTGGTCACTGAAAGCCGTCAAAATGTTAGCTCAAAAATGTCCACGCTTGGTTCAGTTGAGGAATACATCACATCAACACCTTAAATCCCCTAAATCCTTTCCTTAGAACTCCTTCAAGTCACAACTAATTTTGCCCCCTAAAGCAAATGATTATTTGTATCATGGTCTGGGCAGCAAGATTCAGATCATAAGCGCTACCTGCTTTTTTAAAACAAATTTTACTCCCACATATCCAGGGCATCTTTCACTAAACATCCTGAAAACGTAGCCTCTAGTTCATGTGGCATCATGGGAATTATACTTCCTTTCCTCAGTTATCTAAGTCTTGCACGATCTGGAATATCTTTATCAAATCTCTCTTCGATCTTTTAGACTTCAAGGAACACTTATGCTTCAATGCCAGTTATTTGATTTTAACGCATGCAAACAAATTCATTGTCCAGGATTTGAGAAACTGTAGATGCCTTGCAAAAGTGCAGTTGCACGAGTTGCCCAGAGGAAATATCTTGGAGGAACTGACTCTTCTTCAGAAGTTTCATTTCTTCAGTCCACCTGTCTGCTGCTCAAATGAAAGTCACGTGCAACAGCCTGACGACTTCTTCCAGTATGCTTTGCACAACCGCACAGAGACCAAGCTATAACAAAAGGCTTGATCACAGGATCTAGAGCAACATTCCGTTGTTGTAAAGTGGGTATTCCATATTAACAGGAGTGGTAATACCAGCTGAAAATATTTGATTGTAACACTGAGTGTTAATTAAACAGGACACTTTCAGAAGAACCATATCAACAATACTTAATCATCCAATTCCATTGAATCGGAATGTAGAGTTAACGTTTCGTGTCCGGTGACCCTTCTTCAGAAACAATCGCTGGACCCGAAGAGTTAACTCTGATTTTTCTTCACAGATGCTGCCAGACCTGCTGAGCTTTTCCAGCAACTTGTTTTTGTTCCTGATTTACAGCATCCACAGTTCTTTCGGTTTTTTTCAGTTTGAATTCAAATGTACATACAAATGGTTGAAGGCTTCATTCTTTGCCACTCTTTCTCTGCACAGCAGCAATTACAACGGCTAAAAATAAATTCATTTTTGATGTTCAGCAATGGTTTCAAGGAGACATTCAATTTTCTGTGTAAAAATGACTAACAACATTTCAAAGGTTCTGTTAGGTATTATTCTCTGCCATAGTATTGCTTAGGCAGCTGGATTGTTAGACAGCTTTGACAGTTGTCTGCGGGATATCATCGCTCATGATGCATTAGGAAAAATTAAATACAGGACTGCATTTCACTAGATCAGCAACTGTAAAGAAATCACTGGTGATGACAGGTTTTTATTTGATATTTATAAGCTGAATTTCAACTCTGCATCTTCCATAACATGGCCCTAACATTATCAACTATATTACTGGATTGCATAAGAACGTAAGAATTAGGAACAGGAATCGGTAATTCAGCTCCTCAAAACTGCTCCACTATTTGATGCCATCCTGACTGATCGCCTCTCAGCCTCAACTTCTTTTTCCTGCTCACTATCCAGAATCCTTCAATACATTACCACTTTAAATTTCAAGATGGCGGTGGAGTAGCAGGGCTGTGTGCAGGCTCTTGCCCAGGGCTCACCACTCCCATCTGCTGTCTCTCCTCTTTTTTCTTTTGCTTCAACTCTAATTCTTTGGGTTTTTTGCTTTTTCTCCCCCCTTTTCTGTTGGAGGTAGTTGGCAGCATCAGCACAGCAGTGAGAGCGGGCCGCATGCAGAGTGGTGGACACAGCTTCTCCTGGCAATCGGAGCTTGTGGCAGTGGATTTTTCAGGGTGGCAGCACCAGCAAGGTGACATCTGCAGCCGAAGCGGAACTCTCGGCAGCCTGGCCTGGCAGTGGAGCCAGGGAGTCCTGGGCAGTAGGCCCACAGCAGGGACTTCTGACCTGACAGCAGAACCAGGGACTCCTGGTTGCAGTTGCAATAGTTGCAGGGACTTCTGGTTATCGACGAGGTGGCAGCAGTAGTGAAGCAGGGGGCTCCTGGTTGTGGGGCAAGTGTAGGTTAAGCAGCATCAGCGAAGTTGGCCCAGCAGCGAAGAAATGGCACCTAAAGTGTAGCAACTCTTACGTTGATGGGTCTGGCACAGGTGGCAGCGAGTTGGTGAAGGTCTCTCTTTCAGCTAATGGAGGGCAGGTGCTGGCGTGGACTGGGTTGGAAAGATTGTTATTCTGAGTTTTTATTTCTTTACTTTTCTAATTTATTTCTATGATCGGCAATGCTGAAATTCTTATTTCTTTATTTTTCTAATATTTTCCCCTAAGAATTTGTTCTTAAGAATCTGTACCTAAGTACCTTTGTACCTAAGTACCTTTGTACCTAAGAATGTCACCATAATGTGGCAACTTGTAAACTTCTCACTGTATTCATTGGAGTACATGTAATAAAAAAAGCTAATTCAATTCAATTTACTTAATATCCCAACATCCATTACACTATGGAGTAGTGAAATCCAGAGGTTCATGACCTTTTGAGAGAAGTAATTTCTCCTCATCTATATTTTAAAATTGCTATCCCTTATACTAAAAATATGACCACACAAGGAAGCATCCTTTCTACTTTATTTTGTCAAAACCCTTTAGCATCTTACATACCTCAACCAGATTTCCTCTCATTCCCTAAACTCTAGAGGATAGGCCGAAACTGCTTAATTTTTTTGCAAGATAAATCCCTCATCTCTGGAATCAATCTATTCAGCCTCCTCTGAACTGCCTCCAATACAACCAGAGATAACAAGGTGTAGAGCTGGATGAACACAGC